TATAGAAGAAGCTTCGGGAATACGCACTTCAACATGAGCTCCCAGCTTGCTTCTGTGTTTGTGTTTTGGTGTTGCGTCAATCATAGGTGTCCTTTTAAGGCAAATAGATGGCCCTGGTAGATGATTAAACCGCCAGGTAAACCAGGGCCATCTATTTTTCCACCAAAACAACCAAACAAGGACACCTACTGTGGATGGACAAAATTCTGCACCACCTAACAATCCCTGGAATGATGATTCCCCCGCAAATACCAACAAACAATGGTTTCCCATGGTTTCGAAGTGGCGCAGGATTTTGTCCATCCACAGTATGGCGTCAATGTTGAGGACTACATGCCCGGCAGTCCCTTCTGCGACATAAAGTTTGCAAGTCTCCCATGTAACAAGCACGGTTTCATCGGCGTGCACAACGCAAGTCATGCTCGAGACCACCCCTGCTTGCGAAAGTCGCGGCGCCAACATGTATGCCTTGGAGCCTGCATGTCACCAAAGTCCCAATCTGAACAACACCCCTTCAAAACTCCTTCCGGGAGCTGCCGGGAGCTGCCCCGGGCAACTCCGGAGCCTATTTAAAGGGGCGATCGGGCACGTCAGGTACGTGGGCTAGCTAACCCACCGAACGGAAACTCTGACTCATATCCATGGAATCCATGTCTTACGTAGCTTATCTCACACTTACCACTCAGGAAACTTAGAACCATAGCTTTTGTGGCTTATCTCACCCCCAGCAAACGATCACCACCTACCCGACGTACCCCGCCGAGCAACCCGACGCCTGTCGTTCCACTGGCAGCGGCTTTGGCCGTTCGAGGTGGGCAACTGGCTCCTGAGATGCGCGGCACGGAAATGTACTCTCCCCCAGGCAAATGTTTTTGCCCCATGTCTATTAACCCCCGTTTCTTAAGAAATATATTAAAACCAGGGACACCCCCATATTCACAAGCCAGGGCTTTCAGTCATCCGGGGTCAACATGATCATGGAAGCTCCCAAACGGACCCCAAATCGGTTCCTTGCCCTCAGGAGCTTCCGGTTGTTAGTCTGAGGGCAAGATGGGCTGAGGCGTTGGAAGAGCTTCGCTGAACGAGTTTCGGTTTGTCTGAAGAACGTTCGCCCGCGCGCTTGGCCATGCAAAAGCTAGTCACTCGTGGTCTCTTTTCCTGAGATGGACAAGTGGGACAAGTCAGAAGGGGTTCGCCTCTTAGCTTTAATACAAATCGGTTGCCCAATAGATCCAATCCTGAAGGACGATAGGGCACTAGCAGAAGGCAACCCGTGAGAAGAGAACCAGCGCCTTGGCTTTTCTGGATATGCCATAGCCATGTCTTCCAACAATTTCTCGGATAGCATCTTCTAGTTGTCCCTCCCCATTCGTTGCAGTGATCCGCCTTTCCTGAAAAATGCCTAATCATCACAAATGGATACATCGCCTGATCGCTTGATAGTTCCATGTTGCGCAAACCCACGCTTAGCATTATCGATGTTGCTCCCCTGATGATTGGCAATGGGTCCAACAATGGTGTTTCCACTGTTCGTGATCAGCAATGGCTTGCGAGTCACTGCAATCCCCATTGAAGAGGCTGTACCAAAAAAAGTTGAGTATATATACAATCCTGGGTTTAAGAAACCCCAAAAGAAAAGACTGCTGCTTATGCGTGTATAATCTGTATAATTATACTGCATGCAGGCGGTCGCGTTTACACACAACTTTCACACGCAACCCTCCGAATGTGAAGCGGTGTGGTCGTCCCAGCACTTTCTAGCATGTGCAACACCCAACTGGCCCCTTCCCCAAGTCTTCTCAACGGACACGGCTGGGCCATGTAACTCAGCCCAAATCCCAAGGTTCCGATCTGAGATGTGATTCAATTTTTCAGCCAGCATCAACCCGGGATGGTTAAAAAAAAAAAAAGATTCTTCAGCCAGCATCAACCCGGGATGGGCTTCTGTTAAAAAAAGAAGAAACAAAAAAGATTGGTAGAGCCTGCTTTGTCTGCTTTACCAGCGAATCAGCAGCTTCACATCCAGTTGCCCCAAAGATGTTGCAAGCCATCGACTTGAGGGTTCTTTTTCGGGGCAACCTTTCGGATGCATGGCTGTGGTTGTCAAACATAGGGGGAACCAACAAAATGCAAAATCCATCAGCAAGCAAAAACATGTACTAAAACCTGTGGTCCGGTTCCTGATGGTTTAATTTGACCACCCACATTGTCCTATAGGGTATTATTGCAAGCCCCAAAAATGCCTGGTTTCCTTGTGGTTTCTCTTTAAACGCAACCAAAAAGTGGCTACACCCCCTTAAAAAAAAGACACACACACACACACACACACACACACACCGCGTTAGTGGTTTTGTATGGAGCCCCAAAAATGGTTGGTATCCTTGGCTTCCCTTCAAAAGCAACCACAAAGTGGGTTCCCTATGTAAAAAATGACGAGCCACGCACGTTGTCCCAGCTGGAACCCGCGCCTCCTGCAGGTCTTAGGCGCCCGGGGCGCGCTGCAGCGGCGGATGGCGTACTGCCCCAGCAGCGGGCAGCGATTCTCCACCGCGTCTGGCGGAGACGGGATGGGGAAATGGGGATGGGGAGGTTACTTTCTTTTGGAAATGGATTGGACATGGATTGGAATAAAATGGATTGGGGGTACTACTTGGCTTGTTGGCTAACAACTTACGTTGGTAGGTTTTTCCCCACTCATAAGTCTCCCAATCAGTGGAATTCACCCTGTCATTAGTGGGTTGGTCCTTGAACTTGCGATCGGTTCGAGAGATGCAGGGGCCCTGAGACATGGATTGACACCAAGAAAAAGAATCCCAGTTTCCTTTAGGGGAATCCCCTTCCGGTTCATGCCCAACACCGGGAATGGTCATTCCCTCAAGCAAGTAAAACTTGCTGGACGGTTCTTAAATTTGCTACCACTTGGCCGAACATGCAGTAGGGACCCTCTTAATTCTGGGCTGTCCGTTTTCAGATCCCCTGCTGACAGTTTTAACTTGTAGTGGTTTAGTGGAAACTAATCCTAAAGACCGAAGCAAACCCGAGGAACCGGCTGGCTGGAACCGCCAAGTTAAATTGGAAGTCAAAAGCAAACCCAAAAGGAAACCCACCGAGTTCAAGGGGACACCAATTTTCGAGAAAAAACAAAAAAACATGACTGAAGTTAAATGTCCCGGGCCTCCAGGTGGGATTCACCATGCTTGGATGTGTTGAAAGCCGTCCATTCAACAAATGTTGTTTGCTTCACCTCCTTCACCATGCTTTTTAATCTGCACTTGCATGATCAATTCATCAAGCTTCAACCCTGATATCATCTGGCACCATGATCAATCCAAGTTTCGCCCTTTCGGGAAATCATTGCTGGTCCCAACGAAAAAAGGAAAAAGCAATCAACACGCAACTGAGGGGAGCCCCCAACCCGCTACGCAACCGAGGTCCAACAAACGGCTTCACTTCAAACATCTTCAAACCCATGTCGGTAAACTCATCCAGCCTTCACCTGCGAAATCCTGGAAGTTATCCTCGAAGCTGTCGTTGAAGCTATCGTTGAAGCTATCATTGAAGCTGTCGTTGGCCATGTCGCCATGGCGAGCCAAAGTGAGATATTTGTTGACACTGGACCTGACAATCCTCCGTTAAAGACTATCTTACAGGCTACATAGCATGACACAAACAAGAATGAACATATTTCTGCATCTGGGTGTGTCTTTTGTGAAGGTTGGATCCCAAGATGGCTTCAGTTTTCCTATTGGTTTCCCTTTAACGCCACCTAAAAACCGGGGGGGGGAAGAAGAAAAAAAACACGAGCCGAGCCCCGGTTTCTCTTCCTGCTTTCTTAGGTTTTTTCAGATTCGTGAGGTTGGCAAGGGCATGGGCTGACTGCTCTTGAGCTTCTCCAATCTTTGCTCTGAGCCAGAGAGGCGGGGAATCGATTTCCTTGCCCCGTTTTGGAAAAAAATCGATGAGCTTCCCTGGCAAATGGGGAACCAAATCCCATCGCCAGTGGAACCCATCGCTTTTTCTAATCGAACTATAAAGAACACCTGTGGTGTTACACCTTCCAGAGAGGCGAGGAATTGCTCCGGTAGCTCTCAGATGCACAAAACAGATGCGATGCGTGTGATGAAGTTCAGAGTATATGTGTGTCCTCCTTGCGTCCTTTGAGTGGTAGCTTGCTTACCCCTTCATACCATGTACTTACCATGCCACTGACACCATCAAAAGCTATCCCTCATGGCATTGCCCAAATTGACGCATCCCAAATCACAGCATTGACTCAAACAACCAGAACTGACAACAAACCACCGCACGAGAATGCTATGTCGAAGAATGACACATTGCAGGTTCCACTATGCTTCACAAGCGAAAGTAGTGGTTTCATTGACCACTAACAGAGTGTGCGGGCATCATCTGTAAATAGTATGAAAATAAAATTGGGACCCCCTCTGTTTCTGGCGAGTAGCCTTTTTGGCCTCCTTTGCGAGGCATCTTAAGGAGTTCATACAATCGTCATTTCATTCCAGAATGTTTTGCCAGCCTGGAAACAACAGGTCCACACCTGGCTCTTTGCTGGCCTGCAGGCTTTTTGGGAATCCGGATGCTTGGACCACGTTCCCATCTGCAATGATTGAACTCCATTCACCAAAGTGAGGAATGTCTCCAGAACAGTCAGTGGGGGCATCTCCCAGGCGCTGCGTTGACGTGCCGTGGTCAAAACTCATGGTTCCCTCAAAAGGAATCATTCGAGCGGTTGTTCGGGATCCGGACTACAAGGTGCATGCCCATCCCTGTTAACTCCAAGAGGTCCTTTGGCCATGATGCAGGTAAAACAACACACGGCCATAAGCGTCATCCCAGAACTTTGGGGCAAACGTTCATTCGGAGCACCCTTGCAGTGAGCTGCAAAGAGTTTACAGGCGTAAAAGAAGATTGCACTAAGAAAAACACCACTTGAGCTTTATTGCCTCCCCGCAGCTACTTCGGCAAGCAGTAGCTATCAGCGCCTCATCGTCTTGAAGGAATAAATGTAGACCTGAGCCGTTGGTCCGAAGGAGGGGGTGGCAAGCTTTGGCATGGGGAAATTGCTTCCATCGAAATGATGAGGATCTTGTTGGGGGTTTAACCAGGTTGCTTGCTTGCAGAAACATGGCAATAAAAAGCTTCATAGCCTTGGGCCTTCCGGGATAGCTCCATACGAAATTGAAGCATGCAGCTTGAAAGTGGACACCTGCCAGTGCTGGCATGTCAAGTGACAGCCCGACCGAAACATTCTGGTCAGCTTACTCAGGCGTGCCCAATTCTCCAAAGAGAATAAGATCGAGCTCCAACCAAAAACCGAACCAAAAGTCGGATGTTTGGACCATGTTCCAAGTTGCATTTGCCGAAACGCAAGAAAGACATGTGCTATTTGGCATGAGCAAGGCAAGGAATACAGCTTGGAGCTTTGGATGGCTCAACATGGGCAAGGAAAACACACCACGAGGCATCGTGCAATGTCGTGTTGGAATCCCGGGCTTGTTCCAACAAGTCCGAAGTGCTCGGCTCTGATGTGCAGCTCAGTGGGTCAGATTTTCCGGATGCTTGGTGGTCAAGGACACATGTGGCAATTGCAATATATATATATATATATATATATATTCACATATAAGCGGATTGACCAGGAGCGGGTGGTTCCGCAGAACGTCACCAGGTCCCAGATGCGTCTCAATTCTAGGTGACCAAGGCAAACCATCACGCGTGCAAAGCTGAGTTTCCAGTTCAAAGGCGTCCATAAGTTCGTCGCAAACCATTCCGCAAACACGGCAAGCACCGGGATTTGCGCAGACACACTGCCATGCTTGGAACAAGTAGAATCAAGTTTGGCAATCATCCGGACGACCAACAAACAGCTCACCGATCCTGACGGTTACATTGTGTGTTTCTTTGCAACCATCTGCTAACTCATGCCTTACCAAAGGTATGCCAAACTGGGTGTTTCCTTCATGGTGGTTTTCCTTTTGTGTTCCTCTCAAAACCACCAAAACAGGTTTCCCTACACAAAGGCCCAACCCTAACAACAAGACCGAACTATTGGGCTTCCCTAACAAAAGACGCAACTCGCCCCGCCAAAAAAAAAACGTTGACGGCACCGCCGCACCACCTGAGTCATAATCAAACCCGGTATTAAGATGGTCTACCCCGAACCACGCAGCTATTTCTGGCTGGGATCGTCCCTTAACCTAACCATCTACCCGAGTTTTGAGGACGTGGCTCACCTGCCTAGCTACTTCAGCGCTCAGTGCCCCGGCGTGAGGCGATGAAGTGATACTGCGCTCCGCCGCGGCGAAGTAGACGCCGTCCGGGGACATCTGGCCATGCGAATCGCGAAGTCCGACTCGGCAGGCCAGGCAAAGCCTTTGGCAGGGGGCTGCCTGGAGTTCCCCGAATCAAAAGTTGAACAATTGACTGGTGGTGTCCTTCCATTTGCTTAGGCCGCCTGGAAGCAAGGATGAATTTCCAGGAGTGGCAAATTCCCTTTCAAGCCAACAAGGGAAAAGCAACAAAATTCTTAAGCAAATAGAGGTTTCCACTATCAGGGGTGTAAAAAAAAATCCGGGGGTTGAGATGAATCAATAGAACTGTAGGCAGCGCTGATAAATGTTGGTCAGCATCTGTTTCCACTTGCTCATCCTTCCGTGAACAATAAACAGCACTGTATGGATTCGCTTGGAAGTGAAAAATCCCACGCTGCTCGAAGCACGTGGACATGCTAAGGCCCCGCTAGCCACTGATGACTGGCGAGGCTGGATGCCTCGCCAAGCCTTGCTCAGCCCTCATCGCAAGCAGCCGCGAGGCTACCCGCAACTCCCTGGAAAGAATAACAATAAAGGAAGCCAAATCGATGATGGGTTTTCTTGGGGTCATTCGCCTACTTCCATTTGGCTAAGGCCCCTGGAAAGAAAAACAATATCTCCAGTAGTGACAGATTCCCTTTAAAACCACCAGGGGAAAATAACAAAAATGTTCAAGCAAATGGAAGCCTATGCTATCCCCCGATCTCCAGGTCTTGGGCACCCTGCTGCCACCGCGCCGATGCCGCCATCATCGCGGCCGTGCAAAAAGCGCCGCTGCCGCGTTTCTGGGCGCCGCAAGTTTTTTGTTCTCCTTTTTTTTTTTCTCGGGAGATCGGCGAGGCAAAAAAGTCTTTGTTGCCAATCCAACCTGCCTGGGATGACTCAAGAAGATATGGCTCGTCTTCCTGAAAGAAAATAGGGTTGACCGTTGGGCGTGTCCGTTAAAACCAACCAAGAACGCGGTACCCGCACAAAAGACACAGATTTGTGTGCGCCAAAGCTAGACAATCATCCACTGGGCCAACTCACAGAGGTGCGCAAAAAGAAGGAGCCTGCCTGGGCTGTCCGTTTAAAGTGACCAACTTTTTGTGGGTTAACTGATAAAACCCCACCACTAAGCCAACTAAGACTAGGTCCTCCAGTAGAGAGGTTAGAATAAGGGAACCCTTTTTCTGTCAAGAAGCTAAGGGACCGGATGGCTGGGAGAGGCCAAGCTGCTTCCCAGGGCCAGTGGCAAAAGGAGTTTAACAGCAAACCGCGACCTTCACGGCTGAAATAAGAGCTGAAATTATATATATATATATATACCTCTAGGGGTAACTTCCCCATTCTTTCCAGGGATCCTTCTTTCTAAAAAACCACCAAAAACCCTGCTGGTTTTTGAAAAGAACGATGGCTGAAAAGAATGTGCAATCAACCCCTAGAATAGTGGCAGACTCTGGTGTGGCCCATGTTCCCTTGGGGTGGCTTGGGGTGTGAAAGCCCTTGGGCCCCTTAGAGTTGAGGTTGGTCGGTCTGAAAATCAAATTTGTAGGATTCACCCATCTGTTTCAAGGGTTCAGCCCAAATACCAAACCAATCTTAGACATCCAGGTCCTCCAGTAGAGAGGTTAGAATAATGGTTTTCCCTTTTTTCTGTAGTCTATTTTAGTAGAGGAACCCTCCCCCAAAAAAAAGGGTAAAAGGGCACTACTGGGGGACCTAGACATGTTCCGAAGCTGCCAATGCAGCCAGCCCTTCAGGGAATCTCTGCTCGATCCGCTCGATCCGCTCGCTATCCAAGTGGCCGATGTTCATGAAGCAAACCACGTGGCCGGTGATGTACGCAAACTCCTGGCTGAAAAAAAACCCTGCGGGACGATCGCTGCCGTATTCATAAAGGAGCCAAGAACTGGCTGTGGCTCAAAAAACCGGTACCAAATTGGAACCCTGGTAAGTGGAAACATGGACCAAAACCCGCGTAACCCCCCGTGTTTAATTTTGAGCCACACCCAACTCTAGATTCCATGGGGCCTCCCAACTTGAAAGAATCAAAGCGGAAGTCCGTTCAAGCCACACGACTCGAGGACTCCCTGTGCTTGAGAGGTGAAAAAAACCTGAAGCCAAGGATCCCAGTCTCAGAAGACTTTGATTGCGCGTGGGTCATCTCACCTGATGTGGTTGACCATACAGCTAAAGCCCAAAAGGTCCCCCGAAACTCAACTAGCCCAACAAAGGCAAAGGCCTGTTCCAGACTGAGAAGCTGTGAAGATGTTGGACATCCCCCAAACAGCTCATATGGAACCGGATAGGTCGTCGGTTTTGAAGGAATATTGTGTCGAGGTGCAACAGCAAGAGGTGCCATGCAGCCGAAACTATGCGCCAAGTGATGGTTTTTCCGGGCAAACCAACATGAACCCCGCCATGTAGAGGGGTCCTTATATGTGGGCTGTGGGCTGGAAAGTAAATTGCCTTGGACAGCAGAAGGATGACTTGCAGAGTGTCTTCGTTTTCCGGGCAAGCGAACCTCCGTCTGCCTCTTAGTGATTGGCAGCAGCTGCATGAGGACTCTCCAAAACAAAGTCCGGAACAAAGCTTGGCTTCAGTGGAAATCAAGATCAGGCAAGGGCCGAGAACAAACATCCAAGTAGGAAGACGTCTGATTTGCTGTCGCTGTCGTGATGTCGTTCCCACAGGTGTTCTTTTAGGGCAAATAGATGGCCCTGGCAAATTATTAAACCAGGGCCATCCATTTTTCTACCAAAACAACCAAAAAGGACACCGCCGCGTCGTTCCTATTTCAACAGTAGTTTGCCCGACGACTCACTTCCGCTCCTCTTTTGAGGTCCACACTGCGTTGTTCACGCGGCTAAAGTCATAACCTGGGCCGGAAGATCACTGGGAATACCAGGCGCCAGGTCGGCGTAGCCACGACCCGTCTCTCACTTCCCAAGAGAATGGCCCAAAACAAGCCCAAACTTTTGATGTACCTTCTAAAATGCTCCAAACCCCAAAAAGTTCAAAATCTAACGTCCGAAACGGAGCTCGGGTTTCTGCGGTCTCACGACCTCTCACGACCCACCCCCCCCACCCACCGGATGCGGTCTTCCCGCTCGGCGCGCGGCCCATGAAGCGCGCCGCTTTGGTGCCGCACCGCGGCAGCTCGCGGTCCTGGCGCCAGGGCCGCTTTGGGGCCACCGGTGGGTGGGGGAGGGAAGTCCTGGGGTCGTTTCTTGGAGAAGAAAAAAACACACGGTGAAGGCTGAAGCCGTGTACGGCCAAGTTTGCGGACCAAAGAAAAGAAGAAGAAAAGCACGATTGGGTTTCACTTGTGACTTTGAACGGAAGGGAATGTGTTTTTTTTTTTGTTTTTTTCCGCTTGTAAGGGAAACCAGTGGCACCATCCATGTTCAAAAGGACGATGGTCCTGGTTTGGACCATTTTCAAGTAAAGGAACCCACCAGGGTCTTGGTTCCATGGCAACGTGGACAGGAGGGTATATCGTGCGGAATAAAACGGCCTTGACAACAAGAAATTGTTTTGTGGCCGCACAGCTTTCCACAATCAGTTTCGCCTGAAGGAACAAGCGTCGCAGTTTCCCGTTCAAACTGAGCCGCTGCTAGCTCACCAACTCCCGCTGCTGGATGGACTGGACACCACGACTATCAAGTCGGAGCTAGATGAATCGGACAATTGGAATCACACTCCTGGGCTGCCCTCAGATCCCCTGCTAAAAGATTAACTTTTAGTGGGTTAAATGGAAACTACCACTAAACACTAAAAGGCTAAAAAGCTAAGGTGGCTGGGAGCCACCAAGACACCTGAAGAGTCTTGCCTATGTGATTCGTTCATTTCAATTCCCCGGCTTCCCACATCTTGGTCCCCATCGGTACAAAGCCAACTTGCCATGCCAGAAAACATGAGGAGGAAAGGAGAACCGTTTTGGGGTCCGACCGTATCAGCGGGATTCCAGCTGAATCACAATCAAAACCCGGTATCAACATGGTCTACCCAGAACCATGCTTCAAGGATTAAGAAGGCCGAATTCCGCAGCTATTTATGGCAAAGGGATTGTCCCTCACTAACCTAACCATCTACCCTGGTTTTGATCGTGGCTCAGCTGGAGAACAGCGACGAAAGAAGAGTCTCCCCAAGTCCATTCGATCAACCAGAAGGGCTTCTTGCCACACCTCCCAAATTTCTGGCTAGCACTGCCACCTACCCTTAATCTGGCGACCCCGTTTTCCCAACCATACCGAAACCTAGTTGTTTGACCTCCATTTTACCGAGGCGGTCCTCAGATCCCCCGCTAAAAGTGAATAACTGTCTTGGGTGAAATGGACACCCAACCCCCTGTCACCAACTAAAAAACACCTAAACACCTTTCTGAAACCGGACTATTTGCGGGGAGCCGCCAAACGTTACCTCTTGCAAAAAGGAAAACAAACCACACTCTTTAGAATATGGAAGAAACCGAATCCTAGTTTCTTGACATGTTGCTTTTTCTGGGCCCAAGCAAACTTTGCAATGAGAGAATGCCCCCTATAAGCCCATTTTTTGGGAGCCCTGGGTTCATTCCCTCATTCCCTACCTATCGCACTAGCAAGAACCTCGGGGCTCCAAAAAAGCCGCCGCTCGAGGCTCGGGCCCCACCGCTTTTTTCGGCACTCGCTCGCGCAAAATGTCTCGGACGCGCCTCGAGGGCCGGGCGCAGCTCGGGAGACTTGGGGTCGTAGAAGAAGGCGGCGGGAATTCGCCACCTTGCGATCGGTGCAAAAAAAAATGGTAGGGAATGGGAATGGAAGGAACAAAGAAACCCCAATATTAGAAACCCCTGGAAATTCCCTAAATATTCCTTGAACAACTAATTTTGACCGCCTGAAGAAATGAACCACAAAGAAACCCGCAAAATCCCTGGTGTAGTGGTCACAAATAAGGAGACAAGCCAAACCAGAAGGCACTTGGTGCTTGAGGGAAACCACAAAGAAACCCTTAAACCACATGGGTGTGGGCTGGTAAAGGGACAACCAAATTGTGTCTTGCTTTGAGAGCACCCCTTTTCGGGTGGTGTTTAAGGGAAACCACAAGGACACCCGCCATTTTAGGGGGTCCAAGGAAAAACGACACACCAAATTGTTCTTCGTGGCGAAACAGTTTGGTGCCACGTTTGCCTTGTCCGTGGGTCTAAGAGCTTGGAGCAAGCAGCTAAACAACACGCAGCTATTTGAGATGAGCATCATCAGAAATTGATGTGGTCTCGGTTGCTTCCTGCTCCCCTGCTAAAAGTGACTAACTGTTAGTGGTTTAATGGAAAACCCATTAGTTGGCAAAAAGTTAAAGTCCTAACAGCCAAGCAAAATGCACAAAAGTGGTGCTTCCATGCGCCTTTTGTCTTTTTGAAGGAAGCCCACCCATTGGCAATACAGAAACACTTGGATGCATTGGCTTTTGGAAGGGTAACCTGAAACATTCATAATGTCCACGTAGGATTTATAAATGAACCTGTAATAAAGACAAATGGGGGGCCCAAAATAATTAATAAATGCACCTACAATAAAGACAAGCACCCGCCACCCCTGCCCATTTTTTCCAGAAAAAAATCAAAAAAAAGAGGAAGGAGAGGAAGGAGAGGAGAGATAGCCAAACCAAGTCCTTGGATCTTTGGCACCTTGCTCTTGGCACCTGCTTCTTTCCTCACCCAGTAGCTCAAAGCTTTCTCTGGGCAGCAAGCTAGGCAGGCTGTGCACCTGCACTTTGAGCACCTGAAAAGTGCAGCTTTGGCTCTCCAAACTGCCTCTCTGGCATCTGGGCTCAAATCTTTGTGGGTGAAATACTGTGAATTCTGCTCAAAAGCTGTCTTTGCTGCTTGAGCTGTCTTGGAATTCTGATCTTTTGCCTTGGCAAGGCTCTCCAAGGCGTTCATTCTTCTTTGCTCCTGCTGCTCTTCAAGCTTCTTTTCCCTTTCTCAAAAGGAAGCTCCAGCAATACTAAATCAAATGGAAACTCAAGTCTGCCAATACTAAATCAAATGGAAACTCAAGTCTGCCAATACTAAATCAAATGGAAACTCAGCTCCAAATCTCAAAAGGAAGCTCCAGCAATACTAAATCAAATGGAAACTCAGCTCCAAATCTCAAAAGGAAGCTCCAGCAATACTAAATCAAATGGAAACTCAACTCCAAATCTCAAAAGGAAGCTCCAGCAATACTAAATCAAATGGAAACTCAGCTCCAAATCTCAAAAGGAAGCTCCAGCAATACTAAATCAAATGGAAACTCAGCTCCAAATCTCAAAAGGAAGCTCCAGCAATACTAAATCAAATGGACACTCAAGTCTGCCAATACTAAATCAAATGGAAACTCAAGTCTGCCAATACTAAATCAAATGGAAACTCAGCTCCAAATCTCAAAAGGAAGCTCCAGCAATACTAAATCAAATGGAAACTCAGCTCCAAATCTCAAAAGGAAGCTCCAGCAATACTAAATCAAATGGAAACTCAAGTCTGCCAATACTAAATCAAATGGAAACTCACTTGAACTGGATCTCAACATACTATTCAAGGTGCCCCCATCGTTGGGGGGGGGGGGACCCCCCTTTACTAATCCTAGGTGGACATTACACCTGAACATTGCCTTGTACCTGGTCGTTTCCCTGTATTTGGGTGGAAAAAGCCATCTTTCAATCGGGCAAAATGTATCTTTTAAGGAGCCCTGCAGTTGTTGGCACGATTCTTGGCAGTGGCTCCAGGCAATGCCCGCAGCAAATTCTTGAGATTGAGTAGCTATTCCTCGACATGCCTTGACTTGAACAAATTGGCCAACATGGATTTCTGGTGTATTTCTTCCGCAATTAATGAAAAAACGGCATGTCACCTGGCTATAGTTTGAGATAAGCTGGTTCCATGACATTCCTGCAGGCAAGAAAGGCAGACGAACTCAATGTACGAACCCTGCTGCGCTTTGCTGAACACGCCCGGAAGGCCAAGGTCCGTTTTTGCTTGCAACTTCGGCATGAGCTCACTCTGTTTCTTAAAGATCAACGTCCGTGACACTGCTTGAGCTTTGGCCTGAGCAGAAGTGATGATACACCTTCCACTGAACAGCTAAGTCTTGTTTGGCAGAAGGCCGTCAAAACATGCTCACTGGCTCACTTGGACAGGCATCCAAGAAAATGTGCAGATCTCGCAAGCGTCTGAGAAGAAACGGAGAGAAGTTGCCAGGTCACTTACATCACAGATTCTCATTGCATCTCTACAACCCTTGGTAAGGAAGCAAAATACTTTGTTTTTTGGAACCCCCCAAAAACATATTATTATTAAAAAAAACAAAAAAACAATGAACAGAACCAACAAACTAAAAACCAAACAGCTTGCCAAGAACTGTGACCCCCCTAAAAAAAACAAAAGTTTGCCAAGAACAGGGATGGCATGCAAGCGATTTGGCGATTCCCCCCCCCCTTCAGGGCGTACTTGGCTTCTTCTGCGTCCAGCTTGTCCTGGGTGTCATCACAGGACTCTGCGATCCTCGGGAAAACACGAGGATCGCAGGCGTGGAACGGGCGGGCGCCAACCAAAAAGCTGAAGCTATAGCCGAACCGCCTGGAATGCACAGTCAGAAGCGCACACCTCCAAAGTCAACAAAATAGCGTAGGTAGCAATCTAAGTAGGACTCTGCTTCATTGTTACGCACAACTTGCTTTTGGTCAACCCTCAGCTACTGCAAGCCGAGACAGTCCTTGGAAACGATGTTGCTCCCAAAACGGCAAAAAGTCAGTGGAGACATCGGAGTAACAACAAGGTCCTCCAGTAGAGAGGTTAGAACAAGTTGGTTTTTTCTCTATTCTAGTAGGGGAACCCTCCCAACCAAAGAAGAAAGGGTAAAAGTTGGCACCTAGCCGGGGAACCTACACAAGCATGGCAAGCTCTCTCCCGTTCGCCAATCCCCGCCACTTCGGGGATCTGTGACTTCGCGCGTGAGAAGGCCATCCCTGCACTGGCCCAAACCTGGGGGTTTTTCAGCTGGGCTGTCCTCGGATCTTTCCCGGAAAGTGGGCCTAAAACTTTTCGTGTTGGCCAAAAGGGGCAGCCCAACGTCGCAAAAAACACTAAAAAGCTCTCAGGAACCGGATGGCCAGAAGTTGTTTTCACTTTTTCGTGGGTTGAACGGAAACCCAACCACGTTACGCGAAAAAGCTGGGATGGGCCGGAGCCCCCAAGTCATGCAGGACTTGGAACATCGAGAAGTTCGGGCCGACCTTACCATTGAGCCATCGTCAAAACCCGGTAAAATGGTCGTAATCCCAGAACCATGCGAATTGGGAAGGCGGCTGCGGCTATTTATGGCAAGGGGATTGTCCCTTACTCACCTAACCACCTACCCGAATCGGTTTTGAGGACGTGGCTCAATTGAGGTGGATCACCCTTCGAAACCAAAACCAAAAGCTTCCAACGGCCAAATGTTACGCTGGCGATGTCCGCCCTGACTTCCAACCGACAGGTTCAACGGAGGTAAAACGGGGGGGGGCTACCCATGGGGGGGGGGGGTCTTTTGTTGAGGGCACCTGTTCTGACGTTAAAGGGAAACCAGGGAACGCCACCATTTTTGGGGGGTCCCCTAAAAAAAAGAAACATCCAATTCTAGACACCACAACTGAATGGCATTTCGTTTAGAAAAAAAACACAAAACAAAAAAAGAAAGAACAAAAACATGGTGACTCACACAAAACAAGTTCCTAAACACAATCAATCAAGCTTTATCATTTTGCGCATGAATGACTGCACCCACGTTAAGTAGGCCCAGGGCCATTTTTGGGACGCGAAGTGTCTGATTTCCCATAATCAAGCCACAATACAATTGCCAACCTATCTGTAGACCAAGGCTTCATACCAAAGTATGACATTGCGATAGTATATAATTCGGGGTGGTTGTGCATTCAGCAGTTGAAAGACGATCAACCGTGTTGGAAATTAGTGTTCAACTGAACCGCCTGAGCCCAATGATTCTCAGAGTGTCAAGTGATCAAACCTGACAATCGAAACCTTCCCCTCCCAATTCCTTCGCTCCAAACGTCGAAGAAACAACTATGTTATTAAATCTCAAGCGGGTACACTTTGAACCATAGTTGTCCTTTTGGAAAAACAATCGCTGGGTTTCCCTGGCAAATGGGCGAGAACCCCATCTCAACGAGAACCCCATCTCAACCTGCGGAGCGCATCTATTTCTAGCCAATCTCACCTAAAACTCACTCCCTGAGTGGACTGGCCAAGAAAAGTCTAAGCTTTGTCTTTACCAAGGACACCTATGCTTTGAACAAAGTCGCCGGAAGCTCTCCGGGAAATTCGACCGAGAAGGCCCTCGAAGCAGCAACCAAAACTCGAACGCGGTGACCTCTCTGGTGCCTGTTAATGCATGCCACTTCTCAGCCTCCGTGCCCCTCCTACCGATTCTTTCCTCTGCCGGAACCGTTCGACATTCGGGAAACAGTCCCCTTAAGAGGAACATGGTTTCCGGGAACACCCGAACGTCAGGTTCCGGTTCCATGTGAAAAGGGTGAGGGTAAAGAGGGTGAGGCAATATGTGTCTTGACCACATTCGGGTGTATGGTGTAGACACTTGTTAAGACCCCGCTTGATGGCTTCAAGCTGTCCTGAAATCACCCAAACTTGAAAACCCCTTCTTGAAAAGGGAAACCAAACCCCACCACTCTGAACGGTGGCCGTTTTTCAAGGTCTTGTTTGGTCCCTCCTCGGGCTTGTTAGTCTTAAGGTCCCTTTGTTTCAAGGAACCCCCCCCCCCCCACATTCCCCAAAAAACACGGCTCGATCCATCAGCGCATTCCATCGGAGTCGCGAGTTGCTGCGCTTGCGGCGGATGCCCTCGATGATCTCCTTGGACGCTTGCCTCGGAGCTCGGAGCTCGGACCCGCAGCGACTCAGCAGGGTGCCAGGGGGGTCAGGAGAAGCTGCCTGTTTAGTTTCCTTCGGGGGGGATATCACCAAAGGTGAACAACAACATGGGATAACACCTGGAGAACAAAAACATGGGGAATATTTAGCCCGCAGGTTTGTTGTACCGCACAATGTTTTTCCAGATTCTGGTCCACCTTTCGTGAGCCTGTGGTAAAATGATGCAACAAGGAGGTCCCAGACCTAGTCTTCTGAAGATATGCAATCCAATAATGCTTTCTCAAAGGCGCAAGCCGTGCCCACCCGCTCCGTTGGGAACATGACCAAATATCGGTTGGGCACCATACTTAAAGAACATGATCATTGCATAAAAAATTGGCTTTGAAAAGGAAAGGAGTATCAGCGTTGAGCTTTCGAATCCACCTCCAAATTGAGGATGTGGGTTGAATACTTCTGCAAGAATTACAAGTTGTCACCAACCTGAGCCAAGAACTCCCCCCCCTGCCCGCTTTGGGACTTTCGTAGTTCTAGGAGACACTTCCCCATTCTTTCCAGGGATCCGAATCTTTCCAGAAAACCGTCTGAACCCCAGGGGAAACAGCGATCGGTTTTTGAAAAGAACGATGGTTGAAAAGAATGGTTGCAATCAAGCCCTAGAATGAATCAAAGGGTCCAACCTACAGCGCCATCCTTCAAATCCCACACCTACATGGCCAGTCTTCATGGCCAGAAATTCTGACTTCCTATGCTTTCTACCCTAGAATAGTGGGTGAGCTCGTATTGGCCCCAGTTGAGCCCAACACGTGAGCCAAGGTCAAGCCCACCCGCTCGGGGCTCCCGGCCGGTTCACGCGGCCCCGCTGGACCACCTGGGGCGACCGCAGAGAGGACGATGGGCCCAAGGGAAACAAGCCGCTGCAGGCGCTTGGACATCACGTGGCTGTGTCTTTCTTTAGGGACCCCCGACAATGAATGAGTTTCCTTTTGGTTCCCTTTAAAACCAACTCAAAACGGGTACTCTCAAAAAAGACACACCCACATGGGACAAAGGGGACAGTCCCCCGGATCCGCGAGGTCAACTAATCAAACACTTTTTTTGCCTGGGTTCACAGCCCAAATGGCATGAGGGATTCCCAAGCCATCGAAGCAAACATGTGACTGTGGTCATCCACCCAATGCGTCAGCACTTGGCCCTGAACTCTGGGAACGGCCACAGCTATATACAATTCAACAATGAGCGGTCACGGTTGTAGGCACATCGATTGTTTTTCCCCAATACAAGCTTCGGATAGGACCGACTGACTGAGTGAGTCATTCAACACCCATCAAGGTGCCAATCGCAATGATCACCATCATCATCTTCTCCTCCTCCCTCTGGGCTTCACAGAGTCATCACCATATGATGAGGACTCAAGAAGAAGACCAGAGGCATTGCAACCACACACACACACACACAAACAGGCCTCCTTGCTCCTCAAATGGTGGCAGCAGTGGACGCCTTCGCTCGGCTCGTGGAAGCTGCTGCTTGCCTGGTCAGAACCACACTCTGTCGAGACTGCCGATGCCGGGAGGCTGTGGATGCCGCTCTTGATTGCAACATCCCGGAGCTCGCGTCCAGATCCCCCCGGCCGGGCACGATGAGCCCATAGAGAGCACCAGGCGTCATTCGGAGCTGGATCCTCCATCCGGCTTCAAACATAAAGGCCAAAGCCTCCCGCCTGGCGCGAACAGCCAGGTGGCCGAAAATAAACAGGTACGATGGACTGTCACAGTAGCTCTCGGCTGCGATTTCGGCAGCTTCACGAAGATGCTGAATGCTATGGGGTCTCTGCCCAGATCTGGGGTGGTCTGGAGCAGATTTTGGGAGGGTTCCGGAGATTTGGTTCCAGGGGGGTTCCGGGGCTGTTGGGGATATCACATGAACGTATTTGCCTTTCTCGAGACATGCTGGGCACTTCCAATTGAGCTGCGACCACCAAGAATTTGGAAGACCGCCAAGGAAGCATCAAGCTTTTGCATGCGGCAACAGACTTGGCTCCTTGTCGCAACTGGTGAACCATGGGCCAAACAGAACTTAAAGCAGCCCCTGGATATTCTTGTTTTTCCAGTCCCTTGCAGGATCCATATGCCTGTAACTGTGGCTGTGCCTGCGCAGGCAAGCAGCCTTACGGACCAGGCCCCACAAGGGCCATTCTACCATTGTCGAAGCCGTTTCTTGCTTGGTTGCTGGCTGCCTCGCTTGATTGCTGGCTGGCTTGGCCAGGCTTGGCTTTGCTTTGTTTTGCTTTCCTCTGCCTTTCCTCTGCCTTCCCTTGCCTTCCCTTGCCGCCGGCTTGCCTTGCTTGATCGCTTGCTGGCTTGTTTGCTTGCTGGCTGGCTTGGCTTGGCTCTTGGCGTTGCGTTGCTTTGCCTTGGCTTGGCTTGCGGCAAGTGGACCACGGCTGAAAGCGACTTTCATCACTCGAATTGAGCGGAGCCCAGTCTGCGAGGCTCCGAGATGCAGTCTGCTTCTGTCAGGTTCCATGTAACACGAGAGCGACAAACTGTCTCCAAAAAGATACGACTGGAAAGCCCGGTCAAATGAAGCTCAGCTTTTGACAGTGAACTATATTGGATATGCCTGCACACCTCTTTGAATCTATCTGCTCATGGGACATGACAATCCTTTGAACTTGGTTGCTGTTGACCCCCTGCAAAAAGTTCAACTTTTTGGAGGGTTTAGTGGAAAACACCGTTATTTCCCACAAAGCTAAAGTCTAAAGATCCAACCCAATAGCCGTCAAGTGAAGTTGAACATGCCGTTTTGGCCATAGAGTCCGCGCCACGGAAAACGTTGTTGTTGTTTTTCGGGGGGCGGGTCCACATACACAATATAGGAGTGCTCTCATCGTCTGCCTACGTCGCAACGCCGCCGCGCTTTCAAACCCCCGACTCCATTCCGCGAAAAAGCGAACCCCCCGGCCTTTTCGCTCTGCGGGCTGTCCTCGCCTGCGCGAAATGGCAATACGAAGGATACCCCAAAAATGGGTGGCTTTCGTGTTGGTTTCCCTTTAAGCCAACCCAAACAGTGGCACCACCAAACGAAGACACTCCCATATGTCTGACCGGACTGGGTACTGAAATGAGAACTAATGGAGACTGAGTCGCGACCTCTCCAACATCTGTACACCTGGACCTGCGACGAAAGCTTCCCTGAGCCTTAAAGGCTGACGAGTAAGTCACAAAATTGGGTAGACCCGCGCTTGGGATCCCAAACTCCAGAACAAGCCCCATGGTCTCAGGGGCTCGCGCCATTTCGGGCTTGTTGGGTGCCCGACTCCCCAAATGACTGACTCGCGGACAACAAGCGTACAGAACATGGGTGTTTCTGAGGGTACCTCTTTTGGCGGGTTTTAAAAGGAAACCAAAAGGGAACCAGCCATTTTTGAGGCTCCGGAACGCAGCCAATTTTTACTGTGCGAGGGACAAGCAAGACAGGCCAACAATCGGTGCTGGCAGCTCTCAAACTCTACCGCCACACACCTCGACCTGAAAGCAGCGACCTGAAAGCCCCCCTTTCGCTCGTCAGTGCCCGCTTTTTGGAGCTTGAGGTTTCTTGAGTAGATTATCTGCAGACGAAGTATCCGGATTCATTTTGAAACAGCTAAGGGCTAAAGGTATGTGGTGAGCAAAGCGCTAGTGCACCTCGCAAAAAAAGAGGTACAAGCTTCGCGGGTGCACCTCGAAAACGAAGAAGAACAAAAAGAACTGGTAAAAATAAAATGATTCAAGTGCTGAGCCCTTCGAGCC